TAAAAAATAAATATTAAAATACTTAAATAAATAAATATTAGTATTTAATAATATTGTTAATTATTATTATTATTATTATTAAGAAAATTTGGTATAGTATTAGAGGAAAACGTGTTTCAAAAAATCAAAACTCCTCGGCTTTTGAAAAAGTTGGTCGTTAGATTTAAAAAAAATCACAACTTTCAAAATTTTCATTCAATAGCAAAATAAAAAAATACTTATTTTTTATTTTTTCACACAAAATTCGGAAAAAATTGTTCCAAACAAAAAAAAATTTTTTTTAATGCAAATTTCACCTGGAATTTCCCACTAGCACTTTATAACTTTATACTCTTATTACTTTTTAACGAGGGAGATTAATTTATTTTATTATTACCATCATTGTTATAAACGGGTGTATAATACTATATTTATTATAATATACATAATAATATAGTTATTGTAAAAAAGAAAATACAATTTATTTTCTCGACTGTCGCTCTCGTTTTATTTCAATTACGTAAAAGGACTGTGAAAAAAGAGATCTTTCATATCGCGTACAAAAGATTTATGTTTGTTGAGATAATTAAATCGCGATTTGTCACGTAATCTTGGCAGTGTAGATTTTTCCGTGAAAGTCTCATTTTTTAAATATACAATATACACTGAATAAAGAAATATTGTATTTAATACATATTTCTGCAGTGTAATCTCTAAATTCTCTATAGAATTTTTTAAATTTTATTCAAAAATTGTGAAATAGTCATTTTTATTTTTTACTTCATTTCATTTTTAATTTTAATTTATTTAATATTTTTATTAAAAAATTATTATTATATTTTTATGATATTTTATTTATTTCTTACATTTTATTTTTACAGTCTACTTATCTCGCTATTTATTGAAAAACACTTTTTTATGTAAAAATAAATATTTTTAATAAATAAATTAAATAGTTACAAACTTACTTTTTGAAAAAATGAGATATAAATTGTATTTTAATTTTAATTTATTTACTAATATTTACTAATAACGTACTAACGTATAAATGCAAAAATTTATTATTAAATTATTAATTTATTGATTAAAAAATTTTATTTACGATTTAATTTAATTAAATTTAGATTTATTTAGTTGATTAATTCATATTCGAAATATTTGTGTCATTAATTTTCATATTATTGCTTCCTCATAGAGGAAGGATTGTATTTGTTTATTAAATATTTATTTATTACTCCCAAGATATTTATTTTATTTATTTCAATTTATTATATGTAGTAAATAAAATGAAAACTAATTTTTTTTTTTAATATTTAATTAAATATTTGTTGTTGTGTGTGTTTATGGAAATATCTATTCCGTTTATAATAATTAAAATGAAACCATTACAGTAATACTTGATAATTTTTTAATTTATAAAATTTTATTAACATTTCTGTAATTTCCGTAGTTAAATGAAGAAAAATAATATTACATTTCAGATTATAAATTTTATTTCATTACACAAAATGACAAAACTGACATAAATTGTAACAATTATTTTTAATAAATAATTAATTTTTTAATTAATAATTAATTAAATTCAATTTAATTTACTTTAATTTAATTAATTCTAATAAACTGCTCGTAGAATTTGAAATAAACAAATAATATTTAAATATTTGTAAAATAAAGATTTGATTTTAATTTATTATTAGACAATCCTTTTTTAGTAAAAAAAAATTTTAATTAAAAAAGGAGTAAAAAATGTAATTAAATAATTATTTGGTGTTTTCAGTTAATTATTGAACTAATTTATTTTTCTTTTATTTCTTTTTTTAAAACAGGATTATTAAAGTATAAATTAAGATCTATTCTTAATGTTACAGTAGAGTAACATTAAATATCTTAATTATCTAAATTGTTAACTTATTTAAAAAAATAAAAAATAAATAAAATAATTTCTGAAATATTTGAGTATTTAAATTTTAAATTAAAGAAAAGAATTTTATTTATTTATTGACACACGTTTAGAATACATTCGAGTAATTTTCAAACTCTGATTGCATGTGGTTGATGATTTATATGTAACTAGCAAGAAATCGTTCCTCAGACATCATTGCGGTTGACAACCAATTAATTGGTTGGGTCAATCTGCGAACTTTCGGTAGAACGAAACAATTGGTTGCTACAGCCAATAAATGTCTGATTCATATTTTATACTAATTGCTCTACTAACTGCGTATTTACAGATATTTTCCTCTTTATTTTTCCTCTTTTTCTCTCTCACTCACTCTCTCTTTCTCTCAAGTTTGTTCAACCATCGTAAAAGGAATTTAATACTTCTTTTTAACATTTCACTTAAATTGCGAAACCCTTTAAAGATTTTAAACACTTATAAAGAATATTCTCACACTGAGGGAATAATTAAATTATTTTATGTCACGAATATAAAATGGAAAATAGTGTAATTAATAATGTTATAATACCTTGGATTACTATATTCTAATTCTTATTTTATTTTTAATGGAAAGAGAGAAAGAGAGAGACCGCAAATTTGTGGTAGCAATAATTAACCAACAAAATTAATTTAATTAAATAGTAAATTAATTCAATTGGGTGAAAAATAAGCTATATCAAAAGTAATGTTTAAACTAATTAAAGAAATTTTTAGAATATTAGTTTAAATTATTATTACACCCAGAGAAAAATTTTATTTAAATAAGCAAACCTAATTTATTTGAGTTAAATGAAGTTTATTTTTCTCACAGTCGACTAGGTTAGTTATTTGTTTTAAATAAAAATTTTATTTTAGACATAAATTAAACTTATTTGAACCAAATAAAATATTACTTAAACTAAATAAAATTCATTTGAAACAAATAAAATTCTTTCATTGTAAAATTATTCGAAAACATCAAAAACTTCTTTTTTTAAATAAAATATTTAATTATTATTATTTTTCTACAGGAATTAAAAAATATTCAAAAATTTCAAATTCAAACTTTTTTTTAAATAAAATAATTTATAAAAGTATTGTTATAAAACATGAAGAAATCAATCACTCTGAGTTCACTTCTTCAAAATTATTTTCATCATTTCAATTCAATTATTATTTTCTAGAATTTTTAATTATTTATTATGACAATAATTGAATTCCTTCAAAAAAATTATTATTTATGAAAATAATTGAATTTCTGGAAAATTTTGATTATTTCTGAAAATAATTAAATGTTTGGATACAATTTTATTAAAATTTTTTTTAAATAATTGAATTCTTTTAGGGAAACTTTATAAAAATAGTAGATATTGAAAATCATTGAGAGTAGAAAAATTTTTGAAAATAATTGAAATTAGGATAAGAATTTTTTTGACATTTATGAAAATAATTAAACTTTGGAGAAGAATTTTGTTATTTATAAAAATAATTAGGATTTTTACAAGAATTTTTCTTAAATTTTGAACATTTAATTGAATTTCTGCAATTATTTGTAATTTCTCCATAATTGAATTTTTTTTAGTGTTTTCAACAAAAATTGAAATTAGAAAAAAATTTTGACAAGAATACAATTTTAATTACATTTTCTCGAAAGAGTTCAATTATTGAAAAAAAATTGATAAAATTCTTGAAATGAATTCAATTATTTTCAAATTTTTTTTTTTTTAAATACTTGACAAGAATTCAATGATTTTCAGTACATCGACAATTTAATTATTTCTGAAAATAAATGAATTCTTGAATAGATTTCATACAAACAAATAATAGAATTTTTGCAAAATTTAAAAAAATAAGTGGATTTTTGAGAAGAATTTTATTAAAATTGTATTTAAAATAATTGAATTTCTCTGAAAAATTTACTATATTTATTGATATTATTGAATTGTTTCGATGAATTTTTTAAAAAATGTTTAAAAATAATTTTATTTTCAGTGGAATTCAATTAAAATTATAATTTTAAAATAATTGAATTCCAGCGAAAATTTCATTATTTTTAAAAATAATTAAATTCTTGAATGCTTGCATACAATTTTCTTAAAATTTTTTTTAACGAATTCAATTCTTCTTGGGAAATTTTATTATAATAGTAGATATTGAAAATCATTAAAGTGAGAAAATTTTTTGAAAACAATTGAAATTAGGACAAAAATTTTATTAAAATTTTTGAAAATAATTGAATTTTTCAGAAGAATTTTGTTATTTATAAAGATAATTGGAATTTTTACGAGAATTATTAAAAAATTTTGAACACAATATTGAATTGTATTACTTTTGAAAATAATTGAATTTCTGCAATTATTTATCATTTCTGCAAAATTCAATTTTTTTTAGTGTTTTCAACAAAAATTTGAATTGAAATTTTTTAAATTTTATTATTTTTTTGAAGTTGCTAATTTTTCATTAATTATAATGAATTATATTAATTAAAATTAATTAATTTTACTAAGAAAGACTAAATATTTATAGTCTACAATATTTATTAAAACTATTAAATATGAAATAATATTAATTAAATTTGAAATAATATTATTAAATATGAAATGTTTAGGATTCATTTTCATTTATACAATAAATATTTATTTTTATACACCGTTTATTTATTTGTTTACTTATTGGTATTAACCAATAAATTTTTTCAAAATTTTAACGTAACTGTTAAAAACTTCAATGTTATATAAATGAAAAAAAAAATCATTTTTTTGTTATTAAATGATTGAATTATTGTTAAATTATTGAATTATTCTACTAATTTATTTTTTACTGATGATCCACAAGTTCTGAGCATTAAAATAAACGAAATAATGTTTATTAAAAAAATTTTCATAAATTAAAAAATAGAATAAAAGATAAAAAATTAAATTTTACATTTTAGAAACTCAATGATTAATTTCTTTTCACTAATGACTCAAAATTATTGTAATAAAAATTTAATTTGAACAAGAAATAAATAAATTTCGTTCACTCAATCACTCAGAACTTTAGGATTTAATTTAAAATTTACAAAAACTATAATAATTCAAATTTTGATATAAATAATACTTACAAAAATATTCGCTGTAAAAATTATTTCTTCTCAGTAGTTGTTGCGCAAAGGAAAAAATTTCATCAACATCCCAATGGAAAATAAATAATTAATCCAAATGATTTCTCGCCGAATAAAATCAATTGCTCTAACTTCATTTTGAACTTTACCATAATCACGCGACGCGTTCAAAAATTCGACCGGTTGATCGCTTCTTCGTATAAACGATGTGGAAAAAGAAAATTTTTTTTTTTAAATCGACAAAAAGAGGAAAAGAGAAAAAAAAATTCGGAAAATTTCAATTAATTTCTTTCATTATAATTATTTTCATTTATATTTACACATTCATTTGTTCAACAATATAAACTTTTCATTTTTATAATTTAATTTTCTTTTTTGTATTTAATAAAAATATTCGATGATAAAATATATATTTAAATTTTGCAAAATAGATGTAATAAGGCAAATTGTTTTATTTTTGTTTGTCGGGTAGAGGGGGTGGGATGGAGAGAGGAGGGGGAATAATAAAGTGGCAAATGATGATTGATACGCCAAAACTCACGTGCCTGCGTACGTACTACGTGCGTGGGTGGTGGAAACGTACTGCCGAGTATCGCTTCGCGTAAAGGACTTGGTGCAATGTCAGCCCCGTCCCTAAAACCACCTCTATAGAAACACAACGAGTTTGCGCCCCTGTTTCAGGGCGCAACCTGGTCGGCCACCATCCGACTACTATGTATTTTATGAGATCTTCAACAACCGGCAAATATATATTCTCTCAGGTCCTGGGAAATTTAATATACTATATATTATATTAATAATGTCCTTTAATTATTATTGTCACTTAACTATTATTTTTACATTATTATTTTTAACTATAATAATCTTCGTATTCTTTCAGTCTATCCACACTTTGAAGTTAGTTTTTGTATTTATGCTTAATTACAATTGCTTTAATAAAATTCAAAGTTTTTTTGTTAAATAATGGAAAAAAATTGTTTATAAATTCTATTTGTCAATTACAAATTTTAATTGAAAATTAATTTGAAAATTAAATTGAAAATTTTTGAATTTTTAGAAAATAAAGGGAAAAATTTTACTCAAAAAAATGTTCTGATATTTACGAATTTCTTTAATTGTAAAATTACTCGAAAGCATCAATATAAAGATAATTGAGATTTTTAAATATTATAGGTATTGTTTGACAAATTCGAAAATTTTTAAAAAATTATAATTTAACAAATAAAAAATATACCCATTTTGTTTGTTATATTTTTTCTATAACAAATTTCGTTTGACTGATCTAAATTATTATGCAAATTATTCTTCTTTTTATTTATAAAAAATAATAGCAAATGTTCATTGTTAAAGAATTTTTATAAAGAAGTATGAAATATACCAATTTTATGCATAATTTTTATTTTTCAAAAACAATATTGTTTACAAACTCATTTTTTTCTTTTGGGAAGAATAACATTAGATATTCCCGTTTCTTAATATTTTTGTAGAAAATTCTCAATTTTCATAAGGAAATAATTTGCATCAATTCTATTTCTTAATTACAATTGTTTCAATAAAATTCAAAGTTTTTTTAAAAATACAGGAAAAAAATGTTTATAAATTATATTTGTCAATTAGAAAATTAAATTGAAAATGAAACTGAAAATTTTTGATAAGTATCAATATCAAAAATAAAGGAAAAAATTTTATTGAAAAAAATGTTCTGTTAAATTTATTTACGAATATCTTTAATTGTAAAATTATTCGAAAACAATAATTTCATTTCTAAATTTTTTAAATATTTCATTATTATTATTTTTACATAGGACTTAAGATTTTCAGAAATTTCAAACTCAAACATTTTTGAAATGAATCAACTTTAAAAATATTGTTATAAAACATAAAGATAATCCGAGTCGAAGACTCGTAGTGACAGATTTTATTATATTTTATAATAATTAAAGAAGATTGAGTGTTAAAATCATTATTTTATATCATAAAAATATTGTTACCGTAACTTATTCAAAATTATTTTTATATTCAATTGTTATCTAAAATTTAAACTAAAATTCATTTTTAAATAAATTTTTATTAGAAAATTGTACGAGAATTTAATTATTTATAAATACAAAAGTAAATTATTTATTGGAAAATTGAATGCTTCATAAATTTTAATTCTTATAAATAATTTTATTAACAAATTTTTAAATAATTAAATTCTTTTTTGACGAGTTTTAATAAAATTTTTTGGAATAGTTATTATTTATGAAAATAATTAAATGTTTGCGTACAATTTTATTAAAATTGTTTTTAAATATTAATTGAATTCTTTTGGAAAATTTTATTAAAATAGTAGATATTGAAAATCATTGAAATGAGGCCAATTTTTGAAAATAATTGAAATTTTGACAAGAATTTTATTAAAATTTTTAAAAATAATTGAATTTTGAAGAATTTTTTTTATTTATAAAGATAATAATTGAATTATTGTGAAGAAATTTATCAAAACTTTGTAAATAATTGAATTTCTGTGAAATTTTTATTATTTTTGAAAATAATAAAATGTTGCTGTAAAATTTTATCAGAATTTTTTTTAAATAATTGAATTCTTTTGGAAAATTTTATTAAAATAGTAGATATTGAAAATCATTGAATTGAGCAAAATTTTTGAAAAGAAAAGAAATTTTGCCAAGAATTTTATTGTAATTTTTGAAAATAATTGAATTTCGGGGAAGAATTTTATTATTTATAAAAAAAAATTGAAACTTTTTAAATAAATTTTAAATAAATCAAAAACATTTTATCATTACCACAGAATTAAAGAAATAATTCTTCGATTTTTTAAATAGGACAATTTTTTTTAACAAATAAATTGTTTTTAAATCAAATTAATTTTATAATGAAAAAAATTTTCTTTGACTAAGAAAAGCTAAAGTTCAATCAAAGAAACGATTCAAGAAAATGATTTCTTTAAGTCAGCAAATATTTTTTTCTTTTTCACATTAAGAATGTGATGAAAAAAAATTAATTTGATTAAAATAACCGGTTTGCAACAAATATATTTTTATTTGTAATAAATAAATTTCAATTAAAATTGAATTTAAAATAATTGAATTCCTGCGAAGAATATTTTTAAAATTATATTCAAAAGAATTGAATTAATATGAAGAATTTAATTATTTATGAAAATAATTGAATTTCTGCAAAGAATTTTATTAAAATTTTTGAAAATAATTGAATTTTTGCTTAGAATTTAATTAAAATTTATTAAAAGTAATTTAATTATTTATATAGAAATTTAAAAAAAATTATTTGAAATAATTGAATTTCTGTAAAGAATTTAATTATTTATGAAAATAATTAAATTTCTGCAAAGAATAAATTTTATTAAAATTTTTGAAAATAATTGAATTTTTGCGAAGAATTTAATTAAAATTTTTCAAAAGTAATTTAATTCTTTAGATAAATTTAATTAAAATTGAACTTGTGGAAAATAATTGAATTTCTATGAAGAACTTTATTATATATTTATAAAAATAATTGAATTTTTGCAAATATTTAGTTAATTAGTTAATAATTATTTTAATTTTAAATCAGAAATTCGAATGTTTAAGAAAACGAATTTCTTCAATTTTTAATCATGATTTTTTTTCACTCAAACAAAATCTCCTTGATTTAATCAAGATGTCTTTGTCTCAAAAAAGTAATTATTCTGATTAAACAAAAGAAAATCAAAAGAAGGGTTTTTTTTTAATAAAAATATTTTTTTTCTAGCTAAAATAAAAATAATAAGTAAGTGAAATAATAATAACAATAATAAAAATAATAAATAATAAAACAATAATAATAATAAAATAATAATATTATTAATAATAATTTTTATTGACAGAATTAAAGGTCGAAAGTTTTACGAGAATTTAAAAAAAAATTAAGCAATAAATAAATTTTCCGATACAAAACGCCCAGAGGTTTTTCTTTTATCTTCTTTTTTTTTCTTTTTGTAAAGAAGCACTTGAATTTTTCGATAAGTGCTTAACGTGATCGTTTGATCGACGTCGAGACAGTTTCCGATGAACGCAAGTGAACTTGCTTTTGCAGCCTTGAGGACAGGCGTTAAAATATCTCAAGTACAATCCACTTTCTGTGTTCGATTTCTACATTATACTTTTCGATGAGGAGTAGATACTAATCACTCTTGACGTTAAAGACGTGATAGACGAGGCATTTTCTCATTCCCTGTAAAAAAAAGCTCAATAATCTTCTTCTAATCATTCTTTCAATTCTCTTATTATTACTTCTCTATATTATTACAGAAAAGAAGATAAATTTATTTTCTTCTCTAAAAAAAAAATTTCCTCGATCTTGAAGTAATTTAAAATTCTCTTATTTTTGTGCTGCTGCTAAAAATGGTTCTTATTGTAAAAAATGATAAAAAAAATTTCTCAGTTTCGTTATTTTATTTATTAAAAAAAACAATTTTTTTTTTTTTGTTAAAATCACGTTCTTTCTATTGTTTTGCAATTTGTTTTTGTTTTCAGGAAATAACCTTTTTTAAGGTTTAGGAAACACTTTTGGGGGCGTAATTTTCTAAAGGAGATTTTTGTTGTATTTTTCGTTTTTTTTCATCCATTTTGAAGGCAGAATATGACAAGTTTTCATTTTATTTTTTTTTATTTTTTTTCACATATATATCGAAAGCCCCCGATTTGTGTTGCAAGCATCCTAGCAGAAAAAGAGCTTTGGGATTTTCATACAGTCCAATACATAAATACCAATGTATGAGCTTTTCTAGAAGGAAAATAAAATACGAAAATAAAATACAAAGATGAAAGAATTTTTCTACTAAACTGTTTTTTGTAGAAAAAGTAATATTTCGAAAAAAAATTATTTTCCACGTGTTAGAATTTTTGCTTTCCTCTTTTATTAAAAATTAAATAGAAAACTATAGATTTTCCATTGATTTCGAAAAAGTTAATTTCTCTATATTCAGGAAAGTGAATTTTCCAAAAACTCAGGAGAAAATAATTTTTATATATTCAGGAAAATAAATTTTCATCGATTCAGGAAAAATACAGTTTTCTATTTCTTTCTTTATAGGTTTAAGAAAAATATTTTCAAAATACAAAATTTTCATAATAGAAAAGAATTTTGAGAGGAAAAAGTATTTTCGGAACAAAATACTTTCAGAATAAAAAATTTTCAGAGGAAAGTATTTTGCCAAGAAAAAAGTATTCTCGAAAAAAAAAG